TGTGAAAAGTATCAAAATTACAAAAACACAGAAGGTATGACACCCGTTTCCTGAATGTATTAAATTGTCTGATATATGATTGGCTTAAGCAGCAAATATAATTAGATTTTTTTATGTACTGAAAATAATAAAGCCAGGAAATAATGTTTGTTTCAGAGAAAGCAAAGTCCCTCTTCTCCAGCTGCACACAATAAACCCAGATGATAAAACATACTATAACTCCCTTAGGTCAGATACAACAGAAAGCATGTCTTGAAAAGTTACAGTTTGTAAAACCTCAACAAACATTATAATTTATTTTAGAGCAAACCTGGAAAAAGACACATCAACCAACTGGTAGTCAGTCACAGGTAATGGCTAGTTAAATCCCCCATACAAAAAAAAATAAAAAAAAAAAATTTGGGGGGGGGGGGGGGGGGGGGGGCATGTAGTTCAGCTTAGTGATTGACTCACATAAAAGGCTGAATGAGCCTGTAGGTGATTTATATATATATATATATATAAGTACTGGTATGCTTTGGAAAGCCTTCAAAAATCTGATTTTATGAGAAATGCTGTTACCCAACAGCTAGTAGGGATGCATTATGAATCTTAAGTATTATAGTGAATAAAGTGGGACATTTTACTTTCAGTATTTGTCCACTAATGTTTTCCACAGTGAGTTGAACTGATCTAGATCAGTACACAGACTAAAAAAACAAACAAATATTCTAAACATTTTTTTTAATTTTTTATAAAAAACAATTAGGATATGAAAAATAAGCACTGAGGCAGCAGCATCAAAGTAGTGGATTGTTAACAATAGTAATGATAATAAAATGGCAAAGCAGACTAGCAAGACTGTAAGATAAGTTAACAGCAAACTCCAAAGACAGTGTCAGTTCAGCGTGCAGCAGAGGGTAAAACACTCCTCACTTCATTCAGAGACAGTAAATTGTTATTGATCTGTATTCGGCTAACAGACTGAGTTGTTTATCAAAATAAAGATCAAACTCCAAGAATCTGTCACACGCTGATTTACTGATCCCAAACCCTGTTTCAGCTGTTGCACTACAACACTTCATTCTGACCCTGTCGCTACGGGAAATTGTGTTTTAAGGGGGGGATACAGAAACAGACAGACAGTGGGGGAGAAGAGACATTAAGAGCACGAGGAATAGATTAAAATAATAATACAAAAAAATGTTTATGCTCTTGTCGTAGTTACAAGTTCTGCAAATAGGAGTACCGTAAAAGGGAGGGAGAAAACAAAAAACGAGGGATGGGTGTTTGGGTGATTGTGTGCTAACGGCTGTGTGCATGCAGATCCGTACGCCTCTCTCACTCGCTCTCTTTCTCTCTACTCTAAAGAGCCTTACCACTTGAGCCAACATCCTGAAGCAGGCCACTCTACACTCCACCTCTGCTCGCCCCCTCTCCTTCAGACCAATGCAGCAGCTTGAAAAGACAACCCTGAGGCAAGCAACATTTTAAACCAGAGATAAATAGTGGGACTTTGTTGTTGCCTTCCTGGGTAGAGCTACATGTGCTGGGTGAGTGTTGGACTTTCAGTGAAAAACAATCCCTCTGCTTCCTGTGTGTGTGTGTGTGTGTGTGTGTCTGCCCTCCTGCAAACCAGCAGGAGCACGAATTGGCCTCAAGAGGACTTTTGATGCAACAGCAAAGAGCAAGAGTTGCCGAATAAGGAAAAGTTATAAAACAGACAGGGGACCAGCAGCAAGAGTTGGACTGAAAAGTCAGGAAAGAAGACACTGGAAGGATTCAAGACTAAAAATAAACCTACTTGTCGACTTGGCTAGGTGGTGCTACCTCCTCCTGCACCCTCTACAATTTTCATTTTTATTTTTTTTGCCCTAGCATGGGCCGTCTGCTGGCCCCGACCTTCGCCTACCTGGCCTACCTTTTGGCCAATGCAATTGCTTCACAGCGTCAGCAGCACCGTGTGCAGCACGGTCCCTGCAGCTACACTTTCATTCTCCCAGAGGTGGATCACTGCCAACCCTTGAAGGACTTCCAGGTGACGAACACCCTTCAGAGTGACTCCCCACCAGAGGTAAAGCCTGGTGAAAGCCAGTCCAAGCAAAGTCGGGCCCAAGAGGATCGACCTTCATGGCAGCAGAAGAAGCTGGAGACTCTTGAAAGTGCCATGGAGAATAACACTCAGTGGCTGCAGAAGGTAAGATCTCCCCAAATGTTGACTAATCTAACCACTTCCTTCTCCCTTGCTGTTGTGATCTCTAATTATTTTCCACATAGTCCACTGCAGTCTGGTGACCTTCAAACAAAATGTTGCAAAACAAAGTCTGAGATCCCCACAGAGTATAGTATCTCATTACATTTGCTGACAAGTCTTCAATATTAAAGTTCAATGCTCTGGTGGGATTTCCTGGATGCTTCCTGTGTAGATATTTGGCTCCATGACAACATCTGGTGTATCACTGTGTGTGGGTATTTCAAACCTGTGATACATCAGAATGCCTTTTGCATACACCAGAAATATGCTAAACATGCTGAGGTAAATCACAGTTAGACCCCTCGGAATGAGTTACACCAACCCCCAACAGGCAAGAAGTAAATAGACCATGTTTTAGTCAGTTTATGAGCCAAGGTTAACACTGACTCTTTCTGTACTCAACTCGGATTACACAATAAAACACATCAGTGAAAAAGCTGTTGATCAGTGGGAGAAACATTTGGCTATGTTCAAAAAGACGTTCAAGCCATGTTATGTTATTTTACTGAATATTTGGCCTTTGCAGTTTTATTTAGCTCAGATTATAACAGGCTCCAATGAAATGATGTGATTTGAAAAGGCTTTAAAGTAGAGTTTCAGCTGCTAAGGTCAACTGGGCACTGCAACAGTGTTTGGCCATTTCTCTTGTGGAATATTTATAGATCAAACTAATCCTCAAAATAAATATAATGCTTGTTTCATATGTTGAGTTTGGCCAATTGTTACCAAATATGTTGACTTGATTTCAGAGTTATTTCCACATTGTAGTCATATTTCAGTTCCATGCATATTTGAATTACTAATTTTCAGGGGGGGTTTCTCGTTGCAATAATCCCAGTCGTTTTTTATCTGAACATATTGTTAACCTTTTCTCACTGATGTCTCTTCTGACATGTTATTAAAAATATCAAAAGAAAAAAAAAAAAAAAAAAAAAAAAAAAAAGAAAAATATGTATAAAAAACAAACAAAAATAACCCTCACATATGTCTGATGGGCAGTTTCGGGGCTTAGCCATTGGATAAAATACTCTAAGAGGCCACATTATCCATGTACATGACTTCCTGAAAGATAGGCGACTATTTTTATTTATTTTTTTATTCAGAATATAAAAGTATATTTATTATAGTTCAGTTCACCTTGGTTTTCTAATTCATTCAACCTTTATTTAAATGGGTTAATCCCATTGAGCCTCAGGGACTCATTTACAAGAGAGTCCTGGACATGTATTCATTCAACATTTATTTATGCAGGTGAATCCCACAATTATAGTTAATAGTAGTTAATTAATGGTTAATAGTTAATCCCTAGCATAAGTCAATATGACTAAGATCCAACAGTAAAAGAGAGGAAACAAAATGCAGATCCCATTTTCTAAGTTGCTTTTCACTTATTTCAAAGGCAGTCCTTGCAAAAATAATAATAATAATAATAAAAAAATTTAAAAAACTCATTACACTAAATAAGAACCCTACTCAAACATAATAATAAATTAAACAAAATAAAATAAAGCAGCCAACATGTTTTTTTTTTTTTTAAGCTTTTAAGTTCTTTATCAATATATTGACAGGTTATATGGGGCTGGGCAGATTGTGGAGGAGAGCTGTATAGTCATGATGTGGAGCCCACTCACACACTTGTGCACGTGTAGGCTTTAATTTTTGAGGTAATTTGAAGCAGGTCTGGCCATGCTCTTATGCCTAGGCTACTACTACCATAAAAACAATTTAGCACAGATCTAATCTACCTATAGCGATAGCATCATGCTAGTGTGCCACAATCTCTTAGCTCATACCTGCATTTGGACATTGCCCAAGAGAGACATGCCAGGGTAGCCACAAAAACCAAAATTCTAACAAGAAGATCACACATTTGTCACTTACTGAGTGTAGTAGCACTGAAGGAAATTTTCTAAATGTACCACAATCAAGTTATAGGTCTAATAGGTCATGCAGGTTAATGAGGGATCTTTATCAAGCGAGGCAGGAGCCTAAGGTTGAAAGCAATGAACAAGTTGGTAGGGTTTGTTAACCTAACATAGCTTGACTGTGTTATTCATTGAATCCGAACAGTAAAGTGGGTGATCGGTTACTAACCAAACAAAACGTAGAAGGAAACTAAACATATCTACATGGGTGATTTAAAGCACAGGCAGCTCGTCACACTCCTGTGTTTAATCTGTATCCTAAATTATCACTTTAATTTCATGTTGAGTGCTTTTTAATATCCTCCTCTGCTCATTATCTGCTATAGCAATTAGCAAAAAATCAGTTTAGAAAGACATGTGCACCTTTCTAACTTTTTACTTGCACAGTTAAGGCTCTGGTATCAGTACTTTGACAGTTTAGTAAGAAAGAAAATATACTATTAAAATCTGCATATGCACATTTTACTCAAGAATTTAGAGTACCATACCTGGATGTTGTTATTTTTACAAAAAATATCATATGTTGCTTTCATCATAAACATTTAACCTGCCTCCCCACACCCCACCCAAAAACTGGTGAACATTAGTTAATTGGCTAAATATGAACATGTTTGCAAATATACTAATTAAGGCACAATGTGTCTTACAAAAAAAAAAAAAAAAAAAAAATCAAGAATTGTTACATAAGCAGCTTTGAAAGTATATCATTTTAAATCCTCTTTACATCTAGAGAAAAACAAATGTAGACACACTTTTCCTGGCTGTCAATTTCTCCCACATAGCATCTGGAATGAACACAAAGGTACCGTCCCACCTATCAACAAGTTAACCCCACCAGGCAAAAGTTATGCATAAATAATCTCCCTAAAGGTGAGATTTCCACATAAACATTGCATGACCCCAGAGAGACTTTTTTAGCTATGCACAAGAGTATACTGATCTTTGACCCCTGACGGCAAAGCCTTTTCAGCACCTCATGAGGCTCATTAAGCAAATTTCTGTGAGTGCAACTAGATGAAATGTATGTGGAAGCGCTTTAGGCATGTGCGTTGATCTCAGTGAAACTTTACATGGTCTCACTCTAAGCTCTCATGGGATGCAATGGTCCTCTCTATGAGCCTTCGACCAAAAGCCCTTGGAAGGAGAATTAACCCCACACACGCAAAAATTAGGAGCGCCCACACTAATCCGTCATTTTCTGCAACAAATTCTCAGAGGACTGTAATAATACTCCAGATTCTTTCTCTGATGTTTCCAAGAAAAGAGCCATGTTCCTTCTTGTTTGGATTAAACCCTAACACAATCTGCTAACTTGTCTCCATGGCCGTTTACTGGCTTGAGGGCTTGGAAGATGGAAGTCTGTGCAGACATTTGTTGGTACTTTTAAGATGCTGTGTGGATGATGCTGTTTCAAATATACTGCACAAAAAGTCAAAATGTTTTGGCAGCAAATTATTTTAATAAGTAACTGGTTCCATATTTTTTTTAATTTATTTTTTTATTGACAAAGTATGCCAACGAACCGAAAGCACAACATGGCAGTCTTTGTGAGGCCACTGGCTTCACAGTGTATGTCATGAGGGGTGTGCATCAGAGTTCCACTGAGGGATGTTCTCATTACTGCTGCAGATGTTTTTTGTTGCATGCATTTTGCTCAGGTTCTACTGAGATTAACTCTAATCAAAAAGACATTCTAAAGCTTTTAACCATTATCATGTCAAGTGATGTCAAGCTAGTTGCTGATGTCAGTCACAATATTCCATCCAGTCTGTTGCCTACGGTCTTTCCAAATTATACTTTGATGTTTCTTTGCCAACAGTTTATAGTAGTTCAGTAATTCTTATAGCATTCATATTCAATATATCATAGCATTGTTCTAAACAACATAGCATCCTTTTAATTAATAAAAAATGACAACACTGATTTGTGATATATACTGTATATGATATACAGCATAGCAATGATATATACAGTATATGATAAGTGAACAATATGAATATGTTATGCTGTAATATCAAATGTTCATCAGGCCTGTACAGATGCTCTTAAAACATTTTATTTTGTACCAAAGAGACTGTTAACTAAAGTATATGTTACTTCTAACATGCTATTAAGCTGGAAATTTTGCCATGCATGTTTCTTTCTGTGAGCCTGCTAGTTTTAGTCACGCAGTGCTTAGACAGTGATTCTAAGAATATTAAAATGTCAATATATTTTTCATTTTATTTGATAGTTGGACTCAAAGAACAATTTTGTTACACACTTGTTTTTACCCTGGAGATCTTTTTATTATTTGATTTATGTAATTGTAAAGTAAATGTACAGGAAGACTTCAGTTTAGCTAAGGCAATGTGACATCTGGTAAGGATGTTTTCCTCATAGCTTCTTAAGGAGGTGATTCAGACATGCCCCGATGAGAAGATGAGACATTGGGGAAGACCAAGGACTTTCTAAAGATACTACATCTCTGATTTGGGAGTGCTTTAGTATATATTCTGGAATCATTGAAAGGTGGGGAGTAAAAATATCTGGAAATGTGTGCACAAGCTTCTGTTCTCGCAAACTAGTTTTGACTATTAATTAAAAATAGATGGATTGTTTAATGGATGTATAGTAGGCTAAAGAAAAAAAATTGTTATTTAAAAGCTAAATATTTTAATCCTTGTTTAAAACAAACAAACAAAAAGTTAAAATAATGTACAAAGTAAATTTGGATAAATTATCAGCTAGGTGCCAATACATGTTTTAAATGTTATTGAATTCCATAATTAGCTTGGTTGTTAGTAGGCAACATAAAAAAATAAAAATAAATATTAAAAAAAAAAAAAAAAAAAAACGTCTAAAAAAAATTAAGAAAAAAATGTCCAAAATATACTTACCATGGCAGCACAGTGGCACTGTTGGCAGAGCTGCTCAGCATGAAGGTTGCTGGTTCAAATCTTGGCTGGTGGCCTTTATGGGTGGAGTTTGCATGTTCTCTCCGTGCATGTGTGAGTTTTCTCCAGGTACTCCGGTTTCCTCCCACAGATCAAAAACATGCATGTTAGGCTGATTGGTAACTCTAAATTGTCCCTAGGTGTGAGTGAGAGAGTGAATGGTTGTTTCATTGTGTCCCTGTGATAGACTGGAGACCTGTCCGGGGTGTATCTTGCATCTTGCTCAGTGACTGCTGGATATGGGCACCAGTGACTCCTGCAACCTGGAAAATAAGAAGCAGGTAAAGATAATGGATGGATGGATGGATGGATGGATGGATGGATGGATGGATGGATGGATGGATGGATGGATGGCTG